GAAAACAGGGGAGGGAGGATGCTAAGGGGAAGGGGATTATGTCTTGTCCCCATCGACGCCGCTTTGCCCGTAGTATCTCATTATGACTTCAGCGGAGATGTTATTTTGTCACGCGCCGCCGTACCCCGGACAGCCCGCCGCCGCGGCGCTGAACTGGACTAATCTGCTGCGGCTCACATTTTGTTTAGTTTTGAAACTTAGCTCCGCAGTGTAATTCTGATTCGAATTCAGTGGACCGATCCCACCTTTTCTGGACCAGACCGAAAAACCTTTTGTTTATATGAATGAATAGTGTTGAGATAATTTTGATTAAATAATTGAAACAAAAAAAAAAGAAAAAAAAGATGTAGCTTGGTGGAAACAACCAAGAAGTGAGTTGCATGAGAGCCTTTAGGAGTTTTGTTTTTTTCTTTCTCTTGGAGGTGTGAGCTAGAATATTCCCCACTCTTGTGTATTTGGCTATTTAAAAGCCATGCAACAATATCGTTGAAATGGAAGGAAAAAAAAAAGGAAGGTTAAGAGAGAGGTCTACACAAGATATCACCAACATTGTGTGAGTGAGTGTAGCGAGTAACTATTATTTAGTTACTCGGAAAAATACATCCTGGTGTAGGGTGTGAAAAGTCGGAAAAATACTTCCCTCTCTTTTTAGGAAATTAAGGGAGAGATATTTTGGCGTTGACTTTCCTAAAAAACCTTTGATGTGATGGGTAGATTATTAGTAAAAAAGTATAATGTGATAGGTAGGGTATGAAAAAGTAAGTGGTAAAAATGGTTTTTTAAGAGAAAAGAGAAGTTTTTTTAGGGACAAAGAAAAAACGAGAGGAGATGTTTATTTGGTGACGGAGGGAGTATCATATTTGTCGTTTTTTTTTCTTTTCTTCTTGTTTTCAGATGATGACAAACATTCATTCATCCTACAACAAGGCATGGTTTGGGATCACCAAAGATTGGGCATATTCTTGCTCGGTTCAACTTCAATGCTGTTAATGCATACAAAGTAAAAAAAATAAAACACAATTATTTTTTTGATCGATTTTTGGTGTTACTTATCATTTCAATATTCCTGTTTTAACTTATATTTTTAATAACTAACGTGCATTTATGGTTCTCTCTTACCAAAACCGTGTATAAGAAAATCACTCTATTTAAAATACATATAAAATATAAATAGAAACACAACCGTGATTTTAAAGTATGAGAATATATGTTTTTGTTCAAGGCAACACTTTCATGTTTTTTCAAAGACTGTGATTTTTTTATATGCAGCAATCGCGTAAAAGGAACATACATTTTTTAATATTATTATTATTACGTTGCTTATACTCCGTAATAAAATTACCTTATTTAAAATACTTATAAAGTAAAAATGGAAACACAATTATTTTTTGATTGAATTTTTTTCACTATCATTTCAATTTCCAAATTTTAAAATTTCATTTATAATATATAATGTTGGACTAGAAAATATTTAGTATAGAATACTTTTTTTCACATGATACCTAATGATTAATATTTATACTTTTAATAAAAGGGTATTCAAAAATTATCACACGGTACCGTGTTAATTATACTTTTTATAACACGGTACCATAATTAATATACTTTTTATAACACGGTATTAAAAATTTTAAGCTATGAAATTACCTTATTAATAAATAATATATAACACGGAATTTTAATTACCATAATCATCTTTTACACGACACTTTAATTTACTACACACCGTACATTATAAAGTTCATTAATATGGGGTATTATTTATTAAGGTTAATGATATTAAAAACTATTTTCAAATTAATTTATATTTTTAGCTTAAGTTAATTATTTAAAATGGTTATGATAAAGTGTTGAATTGGCGGACATGCACCCCTACTTGAAGTAAGAAAAGTATGAAAGTAGTGAAATATGATGTGATGCATATGTGTAAGAGACAGATAATGCAGTATAAAAAGTATATAATGTATGTATATCCTCTAACCTTAGTTCAAAAATATGAAGGGAAGGGCATCCAAAATTATAGCATCCGTTTCCTTCCTTCCTCTCCAAATCAATCCCTCGAAATCGGAATGATTTTCCGTCTCTGCACTCCTCTTTCTCTATTTACATCAAGTTTTTCTTGTCATATCATTATTGTTTAAAAAGTAATAATGTTACCGAAAAAATAACAACGTTACACAAAATAAATAAAAATAAAATGATAAAAATAAGTAAAATAAAGTAAAATAAATAAATAAAATCACATTTAAAAATAATGATGATGCTAATAATATTTATACTTATAAAAATAATACGAGTAATAAATGAAAAATACAATAAATAAATAAATAATAAATATATTAAAAAGTATTTAATAATAATTAAATAAAAAATAAAAATAAAAAATAATACTATGACTAATTATAATTATAAATTAAAATAGAAATAAAATAATAATAGAAATAACAACTAAAGATAAATCAATAAATAAAATAGAAAAAATAAAAAAATAAAATTGAGAAATAATACATGAATAATTGAAATATCAATAATTGATTCATAACAATTCAAATAGTAATAATAATATAAGAAGAAATAGAAACTAGAAACAATAAATTAAAAATAATCAATAAATAATAAAATTAAATAGTAACAAAAAATAATAAATTAATATAAATGAAAGTAAAAAATGAAAGTAAAATGAATAATAAGAATAAAATATAAAATATTAATAAAAACAATTAAAGCTTTCCTTCTCCTCCACCAACCCATGAAGGTGAAATGAGTCCCTCTTGACCATTCTCATCCTTTCCTTCCCCTCCCTTTCCTCCCAACCAAACATGTCTTAAGGGTTCTACCATGATTAGGTCTAGTTATATATATTTTATCTATAAATATCCATGTATGCAATTATTAGTGTCATCGAGAATAAGGGCTAATAACACAGGAGCCCTCGTGGTTTACAAAAAGAACACCTAACCTCCTCTGTTAGTAAAGTTATTTCTAAAACTCATATGGTTTCTAAATGGTGCGCTTATGCCGGCCTAACTTATTTTCGAACATAAAGTTACATTTATACCTTTTTTCCCCTTTATAATGAAGTTTCATTCTTTTTTTCATTTTTCATTTTCTTATTCATGAAAATAATTAAAATAACATATACTCTCTTAATCTCAATTTAAAAATTTTCATTTATTTATTCATTTAAAAAAGATTTTTTTGAAGAAGGATACAAAAATATATACAAATGAAAAATGAAATAAAATTAAATACTCTATACGAAGTAAAAAAAAGGATAGAAAAGGTGGTGAAAAAGAAAGAAAAAACAAAGATTTTCTTTTTTCTTTTACTTTGTATTTTATTTCATCTTTCTATTTTTCTATTTTCTTTATTTTTATTACCTTTTGTATCTTTTTTCTTTTTATTTGTACAAAGTATTTTATTTCATTTTTTATTTTTTGGTAATGTTCTCCAAAAACTTTGTTTGTTTTTAAAAAAACTTAAATGAAAAATTTTAATTTGAGATGAAAAGTGTATGTTTTATTTTATTTATTTGTATAAATAAGAAAAGTTAATAGAGCTGAAGAAGGGTATAAATGTAATTTTATATTTGAAAATATATTAGGCGGAGCGTGTGCGCACTATTTAGAAACCATGAGAGTTTTACAGATAAGTTTTACAAAAAAAGGAGGTTTGGGTGCCCTTTTTGTAAACAACGAGGGACATCCATGCTATTAGCTCGGATCCAAGAATAAATAAGAAATCACTTCTCCTAAGAGCACTGGTAATGGTCTTGAAGTCCCGGGGCTTCAAACATTCTCTCCCTGCCACATCAGCTTTAACTTACACCAAAATTTCACTGAAAATGGGTTTGAAACCCCGAGGCTTCAAAGTGGGGTTCAAACCTCTATTTTTTATATTTTTAAAATTTTAAATATACATCTTCTAAAATTAAATTAATAACATTTTATCAATTAATTGAATTTAAATGAAAATAAATCATTAAATAAAAAAAAGTACATTAACAAAATAAGATTTGAGTAATAACAAAAAATATAAAAAAATTATATTACTTTATGAAAAAATTATTGATTATTCGAGGGACTAAAAATATCTTCATTCAAATCCGGGTTGTAGTGACATATTGCAAACTGAAATAATTCATTAAATAAAAAAATACAATCAATAAAAAAAGTACGTTAAATTTAAAAAACAAGAAAAAAGTTACATTACTAAAAAAAATTAAACAAAAAATTATTACATCAAACAACAAAATATAGGGTAAAAAATTGTGTTTGTGTATGTTTTATTTTTTTTAAAGAGAAAGAATATAAAGAGAAAAAATATTTAGTCTTATGGCATTAATGTATTTTTTTGTTTTTTAATGGAGGGACCCACACTATTTCTCTTTTCTTCCCGTTAAACTTTTGACGCATAAGGGATGAAGCCCCAAGTGGGCGGTGTTTAATGCCCATTTGGCGTTAAAAGCAACAAAAACACTCCCAGCCTTACAACCATTTTCAGTGACCTAATAAATTAATACGGAGTATATAATAACTTATTTAATGTTATGAGAAAAGAAAATTTTAAAGGAAGAGGAAAACAAAAGTCAAAAGGTGAAACATAAAATTAGGGAGTAGAGTTGAGAAAAAATGGGATTAGTGGAGGAAAAAAGGGATTAGCCTAAAATGCAAGTCCTTTCTTATCAAGTAGGATGATGACTTTTGCAATAAAATGGAGGTCATCCCGCGCCGTCATATGTCAATTGTCAAGGGAGAAAGTAGTCCGAGTAAATTTCAGAAATTTTAAAGTCGGATCAGGTCTTTATGTCCTGTATCCTTGCTAACATTGGTAAGCACGGAGTAATTAAATTATATAGATTTACCAAAAGAACTACCCTCTCCCTCTCTGGGAAAAAAAATAAGAGTATAATTAAGTTATTAATAATAGAAAGTGAAAATATACAAGGGAAAGAAAACAAGATAAAATATGAATTGTTTAAGAAGAGTAAATATATAAGAACGAACCATGCACTTTTATTTGGTTTCACGACAAACTGAAGTGGGAACTAAACATGCCTATACAACAAATACCAAACAAACCCAACGAATACAAATAAAATGAGTACATGCAAACCACCCATCAATGACAATAAATAAAGGACGATAAATAAATATCGTCTCCTGGGACCTCATCATCAGCTTCCAAACTCTTTTTTCCTTTTCTGTTTGACCTCCCGAAATAATTATTGTTGTGGGTTGGGAGTAGTAATTAAGTATTACTGTTCCTTAACGTAGTCGAATCGTACAATCTCCAGACGACAGGGAGAGTATTTGATCGACAAACACCTGCAGGTTCCGGTCGGAGGAGCCGCCGTCTTCCACCGCCTCCTCCGCCATCTTTTTCCACTTGAGTGCAGTCGCCTTCGTCTCCTCCGCCTTCGCCCCGCCCGTGGCCTCCACCAAACACCTCTCGATCTCCTCCCTGGGAACTATCCGGTCCTCCGCCTCCCCTCTGCATAGCCTGACGCCGGTCTTGAACACCTCCACCATGAACTTGGCATTGGTGACCTGGTCGCCCCACTGCGGGAACGCCACTATTGGAACCCCCATTGTGAGGGCTTCAATACTGGAATTCCACCCGCAGTGGGTCACGAAGCAGGCCACGGACGGGTGGGCCAGAACCCGTTCCTGCGGGCTCCACTGGACCACCCTGCCGTTATCCCCTGCTCTCTCTGAGAACCATTCTGGCAAGCTCACCGGCTTGAAAGCCGACCCTTTGCTCGGGGGCTTCATGGACCACAGGAAACTCACCCCGGAGCTCAGCAAGCCGTGGACAATCTCATCAACTTGTTCCTGCTTCAACACGACAATGCTCCCGAAGGAAATGTAAACCACGGAAGCCGGGGGCTTCGTGTCCAGCCAGCCGAGGCAGTCGTCAGCCTTGACAAAGTCGGCCCGGACCACCTCAGAAGAAGACTGGTGCGTGGGGTCCTTGAAGAGGGGCCCCACAGTCGTGATCGGGCATATCTTGGACATGTGCCCGATCACATCGCCCTCCAGTTCCTCGAACGTGTCCATGAGGACGCAGAACGGCTTGGACAGATTTTTGAACTGTCCCAAAATAGCCCCGGCGAGAACCCCAAGCGGGCTCGACGGGTGCAGGAAACTAGGGACCTCATCGTACTTCAACACCGGCATGGCGGGAAGGGTGACGTCGATCTCCGGTTCGGATTCCGAAGGGAAGGGAACGAGGCTGTGGTGGTAGTGATAGTATGCGGAGAAGCAAGCGCAGGATTGGACCCAAAGCATAGCACTGGGAATCCCGAGGCTCTCCGCCACGTCAGACACCCAAGGAATGAACGGGTTATTAATAAGACAGCAAACCGGCCGGCCCTCCTCCTCGTATTTCTTGACCATGAGGGTGATCTTCTGCGACCCCACCCGCTCCAGATGGTTCATGTAGTAGACGAGGTCGTCGCCTTTGGGCTCGGCGTGGTCGAACTCGTCGTCGAAGAACTCGAACCGGACGAAGCCCAGGCCGTACGGCGTGGGCTCGCCGGAGGCGATGTTGGGGTTGGCCTTCCTCATGTCTCTCCCGACGGATTCCGGCGCGGAGAACGTGACCAGAATGCCCTTGCTGGCGACCCGCTTGCCGAGCCTCAGCAGCGGGTTCACGTGACCTTGACCCGGGAACGAGACGAGTAGCACGTGAGGCAGAGGCGACTGGCCCAGCGTGGCGCCCTCAGATCCCATTTTTTTTATAAGCTAAGAAAATGTTAGAGTCACAAATAAACACTCACGGGATACGATGAGAGGGACTGAGGGAGTGTGGGAAGAGTTGTGTGAATTGTGTAGTGGGAGAGTGGGAGTGGGTTCTTTTTTACTTATAGGGCCGGGTACTTTCTTGGTAAGGAGGACAGGGAGGGGGTCAATTGGATGGAAGAACACGTGATCCGTTTTCTGGAAGACTCTCTAATAAATTACGGAGTAAATTTTATTCATTTCTTACTTAGAGGAAAGGTGAAAGAAATGTTACTCCCTCCGTTTTCTAGAATACCCGGTATTACGGAGTAATTAGTTCATTTCTTTCTTACGAAAAATCAAAGAAAAAGTGTAAGAAATGTTGGAAGATCTGAAATACTAAGAACTTAGATTATTTTGATAGTGATACTATTAGGCAATACATCATAATATTAATTTGCACTGAATAATATTAAAATCTAAGATATTTTCCAATGTAGGAATTAAAAAAATATTTCTCCATAAATAAAATTCCTCTATCCCTTTAAAGATGTTTTGGTTTTGAAGAGATTTAAGGAGAGTGTATTTTGGTATTGAATTTCCAAAAATGTCCTTTGATGTGATGAGTAAAAGTAAGATTTGATGGGTAGATTATTAGCAAAAAGGTAAGATTTAATAGGTAGGGTATGAAAAAATAAGGGGTAAAAATGACTTTTTAATAGAAATAAGAAGTATTTTTTGGGACAGATGAAAAAAGAAAGGAAAAAAGTTTTCAGGAACGGAGGGAGTACATAATAATGTCTGGTGGGAGAGATAATCTCCTGGGTGGATATTTATTTGAATAATGACTAATGGATAATGACAAATAATTTTACATTGCGAAATAAAAACATATGATCCTATATTGAGAAAGACATTATGTTTTAGTTTTATTTAAGTAAATTCTCATATTTTTAATTACATACAATTCAGGTAAGATTGAAGAACAAAATATAGAGATCGATGTAATAGTTTTCAAATCTCGGTTTGGAGAAATAAAAGTTGAATGAATTTACATATCACGCCACTTTGTCAGCCAGAGGCTCTACCCTTTGGACCCTGCAGGGGCTGTTGCCCCTTGAACCTCACTTCCAGATGTGCTGTCCCCAGACCTCGCCAAGAGGTGTAGTCCCTTTTGGAACCACATTAAATAATTTGGTGCAAAACAAAACTTTTGTAAATAAACTTTTTTTATGATTATTATGAAAATATTGATAATATTATTATTTCAATTACATGCAATAAAATATATAACAAGAAAATATTTCATCAAAAATTTTGTTGGAGTAATTAATTTCAACTTTCTTCATTAAAATAATACCATTGTGGTGGATGTGGATCCCTCCAAGGCGAAAAAAACCGACTCTTTGAGGTAGATGGATGATATTAACAATAGTTTACGCCGTATGGTTTAGATCGGAAGGACAAATAAAAAAAATAATGAGTAAATTAAATTCTATAATAGGTTTCTTGGAAATTTTACGGCGAGTATCTTTTCACGAATATTCATTTTTAAATTATCTGTTATGTTACTGTTAAATTGAAAGATAAAATTAAATTTCAATTTGTACAATGAACATATATCTTTTCTTGTTATAACTAATGCTAGAGGTCGTTGTTGATGCATAGTTTATCAATCAGAATTGCTGTTTATTTTCAACTATATTCTACAGATGTCGCCTCTGATCAAAATTATAGTCCACATTCATAGGCACTTTTGTTGTGTTTTCCGTCGAGCCAATATAAGAATACATCACTGTACTCGACATAGGGTCGGTGTGATACAAGGGCGTTTGAGTTCAAATTTGGCCGGAACCCTAACCCCAAGCTTCCGGCTGATGAGCAAATGACTGAGTATTTTGGACGGTCTTGTAAACTTGAATTCGTAAGTTTTGGATTGTTTTTGTAAACTCGTTGCCTTGAACAATCCCACGGCCAAAGCAAATTACAACATTGGTCTCAATGATCTAACTTCAATTGCAAATTCCACGGCCAAACTAAAATATCATAACAACATTCAATACATTTCCAATTTGAGATGGGTGGTAGCGACGGAGTTGACAATGTGGTGGTTGCGATAGTCGTTGAACATAGTTCAACTCATTCGACTGAATTCGTGTCACAGTGTGGAGAGAAAATAGGCAGTGTGAGGATGACAATGTGGCGACGGCCGTAGTGGCATGGCCATGTCGTGTCGACAAATGGTGGTAGTGTGGCAGTAGTGGTCGCAGTGTGGCAGCAATGGTGGTGGAAGAAGTGTAGCAGCAGAGTTGAAAATGTGGCTGTGGGACACCCTTTTACGAGTATTAAACAAGTGCAAAATTGTCACTTCTTTTAAAAATAACTCATTTTGATGAGTTCCTTTGATGAGTTACGGAGATATGATGAGATACGAGTTTTAAAATAATGGGAGAAGGGTCAAAATAAGAGTAAAAGAGATGTTATATCCCAAATTAGGAATTGCTCACTCACCCAATAATCTCCTTTCCACTGACTTGCTCGATCTCATCATTGCCGATCCGTTCCATCAACAAACTCCACCTTTTTCTTGACTTCTCTGTTCACTTTGAGCCCACTTTAGTTCATGAGGACAACCCATAAAAAAAGTATTCATCTTCAATGGTCGCAGAAGAAGAACTCCTAACCCATAAAGCTAAGGGACTGCTCTTACAAGTCTCTCTTGAAATGCATCTATCACTGAAATTTCTTTTCTCTCTTGGTTTGATTCATTTTTTGCATTTTCTTGATAATAGATTATGAAAGCTCGGAAAAATAAAATGTAATCACTAATTTGAAGTTATGAATTTTTTTTAAAAAAAACTTGAACCCCAACTCCCAAGGTCCCCACAAGACTGGTTACATTTGGTTAGTCCTTTGGAGGAGTTAAATAAAGCTACAGTCTCAAAGCATAATAACTTTTTATTGTTATTATTTGAAGCTGAACTTGGATTTAATTCTAGTCATTATATATGTAAAGGTTAAAGTGGAAAAAATTAGTATAGACAAAGAGTAAAGGTTAAAGTGCTTTAGAACTTGTTCACTACGACTTATCCTTATTATTTATTCCGTATTACATATTCTTATACAAGAACAAAATCATATGAGAAACAACTTTAAATATTATCTAATCAAATCTTTCTCTCTCCGTGTTCGAAATTGATCTTCCCATTTGACCTGGAATAGTATTTTGACCATTAATATCTATATTTATATGCAGATATATTTTATGAAAATTTAATATTTCAAAACTACATTTTTTCATAAGGAAATTATTAATATTAAATTTAAATCAAAACACAATGTATTTTTTTTATATATATCAAAGTTAAAATTTATAAACTTTAGCCAAAAAATTAAATGAAAATGTCATTTCTAGAAAGAAGGAGTAATAAAATCAAATCAAATTTAATCACATCAAAAAAGGAACAAGCTCTTAAATCACTCATCCACTCCGGTCTCCGGACAACCAAACATCACATGAATGTAACATTTCAAAATTGATTTTTTAAATTACATTTGTCAGTCATTAATGAAGCACCTTGGTTCCCAATGTAATAGGAACCGACCTCTTCATGAAAACATACTCCTTATATTATTATGATAATTTTTTTTTGTGGTTCTTAAGTTCATACTCATTATATGAACATTAATGTATAAAAAGTTTGTTTGTATTGGGCCCATGAAAAATATGTGAGATATCCACATTTTATGCATAGATCTTAAAGCTAAAATAACACAATTATACTCTCTAATATGTAAAAAAGAAATTATTAATTTCAAAGTTTGTTATTGAAATTTGAGATTATTTTTTCACACACAAATATACAATGATTGTTAGTGCAACTGAATTAATCATTGCATATGTTTAATCTGGAGCTTAATGAAAGTAGCCTTATTTTTAAGTTTGCCAGTTTGAACCATTTTAGCCAAATTGTCTTGCAAATTGCCACTTTTTTCTAACTCGGCGGATTTCATATGTTAAAAATTGGTTAACAAAAGCGAGTTACGTTTTTTGCCTATAGAATGCCAAAAAAAATGTTTGCCACCAATCTGCAGTCAAAATTTATTTTGACTCTTTCAATGATCGTTTGCTCGGGTCTGAGGGAAGCTTTAAAAACGGGGTTCATCCTTTTTTTTGCAAAAAGGCCTGTTATTACACCAAAAAGTGTATCTAGAAGTGTACCCTAATGCAATGCACTGATATTTTAACGGTTCACACTGGTACAAAATGTTAGTTCACTTAAAAATATAACACTGACATTTTTTGTCAATGTAAACCATCACACTAGTATTACACTAACACAACATGTCGGTGCATATAAGTTTTGGTGTACAAAGAGCTTAAGAAGTATTTGCACTACATAGTACTAAAACTTAAATCATTTCCCTAAATAGCACTTAAACTGTTTTATTCCCATAATGTGCAGTGATGACGAATATTTGATTGAATAATGACTTATGCATAATAACTAAAAGTGCTACATTGGGAAGAAAAACACATGTGGTGCTATTTAGAGAAAGTCGTTATGTTTTAGTACTATTTAAATAAATTTCTCTAAAATTATTCATTCATTACCAAGATACTACTTTGTAATAAAGATGTTATGTGTTGAATTCTCGGTGGGGGCAATAACTCGATGGGCTTCAATTGATTGATCGAGAACGTATGGACACATATTACTTTGTAATTGAGTTATTAATGTTTGGAAAAAAAGTTCTTTCCCTAATAAGGCCCCATTTCATTCAACTTATTTTTCTACTTTTTTCTTATTCTTATTAAAATCAGAGTAGATCAGATCAGACCAGATTAGATCAGATCTAATCAGATCAGATCCAATCAGATCAGATCCAATCAAGTATTATTATTATTATTATTATGAATTATTATTATTATTGTCATCATTATCGTTATCATTATCGTTGATACTCCATACTTTTTAAATTCCATACTTTTTTACTTGTTTTACTTGATACGATTCTTTCAAAAAATAAATTTAATTTCTTTTGAAAAAATATATGAAGAAAAAAATGAAACTTTTGTGCGATTATAATTTATGTAGAGAAA